TCTGATTCCTAGTGCCAAAGGTTCGATTCAGTGTATATACCTGAACACGCTCATCCGTCTGTGCTCCTTTTTTTATGGTGCTTAAAGTAAAGAGCCCATCCTACAGGCCGTCCATGCTGTTCCTTAGGCATCGTCCCTTTGCTCCGATTGTTGAAGAATGGTGGCTTGTTTCATGGTTTTGTATTTGTGTCTAATGCACGTGTTAACATGATAGACGCAATGCGTTGTGTAGCTACAGTTTTCTGGAAAAGCCAATCTTTTAGGAATTGTTTTTCAGATCTTCAATAAATTTTTTCTTTAAATTTCAAAGAGCAATGTGCTTGTGTGGGTACATTTTGAGACCTCTGTACTGTGTATCCCTTTTCACGTCTAGTCAGTGGTACTTCAGGGAGCAGGGGAGGTGTTCGATTTTCTTGTTTGGCCTTTTATGGAAGGAGGTGGTTGGCTGCAGCATCTCCCTCTAATCCACGGAAGCTTTGGCAGTTTGCTCTCGAGTTCTCGCTAAGGAGTTAGCCACAGGACCGTTTCTCTGCTTTTCGTAGACTGTTGTTAATTTTGAGCAGTAAGGGAAGTTTTACCACTGTGACCTCTTGCTTTCTCGTTATTTTAAGATGTTCACTGACATTCACAGGGCCTAAAATCCAGGGTTTTCCTTATCAGACATTAACTTCTCCCCACCCATGTAAATGGAGCGGAAGAACAGAGTAGCAAAAGGTGCCTGGGTACCTCTGGGTCCAGCATGGATCACGATCTCCCCGTTTGTGAGTTTGAGTCCTGCTTCAGGCTCCGGGTTCCGTGCTGGGATCCTTTCTCCCCGGCCCCTCCCCTGCTTGTGCTCTTTCTCCCAAAACAAACTTAAAAAAGAGCAGAGCATTGATAGGTCTACCTGGTGATACTAGAGGCAGTAATCTTGCCTGGACATTATATTAAGCATTTTGAGTAGGTTTTCATTTACTAGTAGTTGTTTTTTGTTTTTTTTTTTTTAAGTAGGCTTCACTCATGCCCAGCACAGGAGCCCAAGGTGGGGCTTGAACTCACCACCCTGAGATCATGACCTGAGCTGAGACCAAAAGTCAGAGGCTCAACTGACTGAGTCACCCAGGTGCCCCCATATGCTAGTAATTCTTAAGGTGGTTCCAGAACATGATGTGCAGTGGTCAGAGGAGCTCAAATAAAATCTAATCAAGATGATCCTGAACTGATAGTTATTAATTGATGCTTACCGAAAAAAGTTTTAATGGTAAAATCTTTTTTTTTAGTTGAGATACAACTGACCTGTTGGTTTTACATGTACAACACAGTGATTTTGTATTTGTATACATTGTGAAGTGATCACCACAGTTAGGTCTAGTTAACATCCACCATACGTGTTTATACAAACTTTTTAAAAACATTTTCTAATTTTTTAAACCTAGGTCTTTTGTTTCCAAATGTCTGTGCGCCCCTGCCGTGGAGACTTCTGGACCAGCTTCCCTCGCGCGGCAGTCTAGAATCCCTTAGTCTTAAGTGTGTTCCTTGAACTAGGAACTGAACCCACTGGAAGGACAGGAGCAGGCCTTGTCGCTTTCACTTCCTCTCCCTCGTTCCTGCGGTGACTTGGTGTTCGGGACCCTTTGTAAGCAGCGCATCACTTCTTAAAGGCAGCAGTTTCCAAGTCGTTGGTGAAACGGCAGGTTTTGGTCCTGCATTGGCACGGTCTTCGGACCTGGCGGACGTGTGTGTGTAAGACCGCGCCCGTGGAGCAATGGGCTCCGGTCGTGTGCCGGCCCCGGGGCTGCGTCGTCTGGCTGTGACCGCGTCCCCGGCGCCCAGTGCAGCAGTGTTGGCGGCACCTTGTTCACGGGTTCGCGCTTTGACTTGTATCTGTCTTCTCGTGGTGGGATCGCCCAGGTTTTGACATTGTTTCCTCAGAATGGAGAAACTTTGCTCCTTCTTACCACCCACCACCCCCCACCCCGTCTTTGCCTTTACGGAGCATGATTTTTGTGCAGCCCCGTCCTGCCGTGTCTCCTGGGCATTCGTTCATAATAGCTGCTCCCGTTTTTAGTGTCTGTTACAAACAGGAAGTGAAGGTTCTGCAGGGGAAGGAACTTGCCCAACACCCCCCACCCCCAGGCCACCCCCCACTCCCCCACCAGGCATGCCTCTGTTGGCCGATGGCATCGGTTACCACATGCTCCCCACACACCGTGTGCCTTTCCCATGGGCCTCTTTGCCGTCGGTCACAGAGCGTGTTTTCCATGGTGTCCTGGCCTTAACCCGCCACCAGTCTCTGCCCCTGCACGGGTCCCTTCTCCTGCCGCTTCCTTCCTTAGCACTAATGTTCTCCTGTTCGGTAGTGATTGAGTTTCCGACGTGCGGTCAGGTTGGGTTAAGGGCCAAGCTCTGGAGACAACCCCTTCCCTTGCCGTGCTCTGCTTCAGCCACTTCGAAAGTTCTTCTGACCTTGCTGTGACGTTCGGCAGCTGAATAAAAGAGCGAGTGGAGAAGAGTATCACGGCAGATCAGCGGGTGTTGCAGTGCAGTAGACGGCGATCTGAAATTGCTCTCGCCGCAGACCCCGCAGATCCCTAGAAACGCAAGGTAAAATAAAACCCTAAAAATCATAGGTGAGCACAAAAAGCAGAGACACAAAGCCGAGTGTCCCCAGAGTTTGCCCCCAGTGTAGTTAGCACAGAGAAACCACGTAGGAAATACCTTTAGTAATAGAGAAACAGTTGTGAACACGAGAAAAGGAACAAGGTAGATGTTTAAAGAGCCCAGTAGAAAGCGACACAGTTGGTGACAGAGGCAGTCTCCCGCTGGGGGTTCTTGGAAACCACCTCTGCTTGAGGGCCTGAGCCCAGCAGGCGGGGTGGGGGGTGGGGGG